GACTTCACTCTCCTTGCTGTGTCAAAAAGATTCTTCATGTTAAAATTCAACCGAGAGATGTTAACCAGCCGTTAGAACCAGACTTGTCAGAACTCAAGCAGCTGAACTTCGCCCAGCTCGGCGAGGGCCTTGCCTGCAGCTGACAGCGACCAGCTGGCGCGTTTCCACAAGGCCCAATGTAGGTACTGCCCCTCCCCCGCCCTGTGCCATTTCCCTAGCCGGTGCCTCAGGGCCCCCCTCTTCCCAGCGGCTGGTCCCCCGGTCTCGGTCCTGACTTTCCTTTAGGATGCTGGTTTAGCTGCATTCTTAGAAATGCCTGGCCCGCTTGCAGGGAAAACTCTCTTTTTGATTTTTGAGTTGCAGCCCATTAAGAGGAGTAATCTTAGGTGGATGCAAGGTCAGGCTGGGAGAAGGGTCAGGAAGGCGTCACAGGAATTTTGGCAAATCTCTCTCACTTCACCGGAAAATATAGTGGCAGGATTTGGCAGCCGTGTGCAAACGCTGCAGTCATGAGTTTCCGTGTGTGCGTCTGTGGATAAGCGCACAGCCCGGGGTCACAGCAGCCAGCGCCTGCTGCGGCTGTAACAAACCCAAGGATTCTCCCGAAACAGGAGGCAGTGTGGCCCGAGTGTGACGCGCACAGACTCGAGTAGGCTGTCTGGATTTGAATCCCTGCTCTGTCCAAGCTCTGTGGCCTTGGGAAAGGTGCTTAACCTCTCTGTGCCTCAGTCTCCTGGTCTGTAAAATGAGGGTGATGAAAGTTCTGATCTTATAAAGCTCTGGTGAGGACCAAATGGGTTTATGTCCCTGGCAAGCAGCGAGAGCATAATATCAATATTATCATTATCGTCGTCATCAGCATCATTATTTTTTGACAAGGACTGTGGGAGATACCTGGGAGCCCCTGAAGGCTGACTTGAGAGGGGTTCAGAGGAGTAGGGTAGGTGGGGGGAGGGGGCCCAGGGTCAGATCATGCAGGGACAGGTGCCATTTGAAGGACAAGCACTGAACTGTACACCATGGAGTGAGGCTGGTGTGAGTCTGGGTTAAAATGTGATTTATTTTTCCACATATGGTTGATGTTTTCTTCATGGTTTTAATGAAGAATTCTTATTTTTTGAGAGAGAATAACTATAATGCAAATATTGGAGGACTGGGCCTCCAGGTTCACTCCCCACCAGTGCTGTTTGAGCAAAATGCAGGGTGGTTTGGGAGAGAGGGTGAAGGGAGGGCTTCCCCGCTCCTCGAAGGGTGCTGTCCCCACCAGAGTCTGCCTGCCACGGGGCTATGATTCTTCCTGTGTTTCTATCCTGGATGCATCTGTATCCTGGAAACCAAAGGTCAGCCCCCAGCCTTTTTTTTACACAGACACACATACATGCACACATGTGCACACACACACATGCACGATTTGCCTAACTCCTCAAGGTGTGAGGAGACAAAGGGCTCATTGGCTGCACCGTGAGGAGATCCCTGCCTGTATGAACTGCACAGTCCTACGTGCTGGCCGCCTTCAGCCTCTGGGTTCACCCGGCAGCCTCCTCCTCACCCTCTCTCTCCTCTGCTTTCTCCCACCACAGAGGTCTGCTCCTTCTGTCCTCTCTTTTGCTGCTCTTTCTCCTGCAAAAAGAGGTGCCCAGTGTTCTCAGGATCTTACCCGCCCCCACCCTCAGTGCCAGGCCCAGGATCTCAGCATATCACCAGGCATGTTGGGCTGGCATTTGACTGGGATTGCATTGAATCTATAAATTCATTTGTGGAGAATTGACATATTGGTAATAGAGTTTTCCAATCTATGAATATGGTATGTCTCTCCATTTATTTAGGCCTTCTTTAATTTCTCTCAGCAATGTTTTATAATTTTCAATGTATGTGTAGATCTTGCCTGTTGAATTTATCCCTAAGTATCACATTTTCCTGTGCTGTTGTTAAGTGGTATTATCTGATTGCTCAGTTTCTGATTGTTACTAGCATACAGAAATACAATAGATTTTTGTATATTTACCTTGTAGCCTGCAACCCTACTAAACTCCTTTATTATTTCTAGTAACCTTTTAGTAGATTTTTAAGGATTTTCTACAATTACATCATTTGCAAATAAAGACAGTTTTGTCTTCCTTTCTAATCTGTATGCCTTTTATTTATTTTTTCTTGCCTTATTGCACTGACTAGGACCAATGTTGAATAGAAGTGATAAAGGTGGACATCTTAGACTCATTTCTAATCTTAACAGGAGAGCATCCACTCTTCCACCATTAAGTGCGATGTTACCTCTAGGTTTTCCATAGATGCCCTTTATCAGGTTGAGCAAATTCCCTTGTATTCCTAGTTTGTCGAATGTCATTTACCAGGAATAAACACTGAATTTTGTGAAATGCTCTTTCTATTGAGATGATCACATGGTCCCACTTTGCATTCCTGTGACAAACTCCACTTGGTCATGATGTGTTGACCTTTCTAATATATTGTTGGATTCAATTTTCTAAATGTTTGTTAAGAATTTTTGTGTCTATGTTTGTAAGAGATATTGACTTACAGTGTTCTTTTCTTATAATGTCTTTTTTTTTCTGATTTTGGTATCAGAGTAATGCTGGCCTCATAGAATGAGTTGGGAAGTGTTATCTCTTTTTCAGTTTTATGGAGGCTTTTGTATAGAATTGGTATTATTTCTTGCTTAAGTGTTTGTCAGAATTAACCAGTGAAACCATTAACCAGTGAGGTCTGGAGTTTTCTCTGTGGGAAGGTTTTAAATCATAAATTCAATTTCTTTAATAGATACAGGGCTAACAATGTTATCTGTTTTTTCTTGAGTGAGCTTTGGTAGTTTGTATCCTTCAAGAAACATGTTAATTTATTGGTAAAATATTAGTAATAATATTCCCTTATCATTTTAATGTCTGTAGGATTTGTAGTGATGCTTCCTTTTTCGTTCCTGATATTGGTAATGTGTGTCTTTTCTCTTTTTTTCCTGATCAGTATTTCTAGAGGTTTATAAATGTTGTTGATCTTCTCAAAGAACCAGCTTCAAGTTTCACTGATTTTTTTTAAAAAAATCATTTTCTATTTCTTAGATTTCTGCTGTTTATTATTTCCTGCCTCCTGCTTACTTTAGGTTTAATTAGCTCTCTCTCTCTTTTTTTTTTACTAATTTCTTAAGCCGATGTATTTGACTTGAGGCTTTCTTCCTTTCTAATGTAGGCATTTAATGATATAAATGCTACTCTAATCACTACTTTAACTTCATCCTACAAATTTCAATATGTCATTAAAAAATTTTAAATTTAGTTCAAAATATTTTCTAATTTCCTTTGTGATTTCTTCTTTGACCTATGAGTCATTTAGAAGTGTTATTTAGCTTGAAGTTTTTTAGATATATCTCTGTTACTGATTTTTAATTTAATTCCATGATGATCCAAGAACATACTTTGAGTCATTTTAAATTTATTGCATGTGAAGGAAGGCCAGGGACCACAGGGGCCTGTTGGTGGAAGAAGTATGATCTTGATCAGAAGACACCAGAGGGTTTTAAGCAGACAGGGGGTTTGATTTGGATTGTGTTTGGTTGGTCTTGTGTGCCTCAGATGTGAGAGAGGGGAATTAGGATGCCTGGATGGGAACCTGGGACTTGAGGTTTCCGAGTTGTCCAAGGACAGTGGAGAGTTTTCCAAAGAGTCTGGATCTCCAGGGAGGCATATAACTTTGGGACAGGGCTACAGATAAAAGGGCACAGGGTGTAGATGAGGGCAAGGAGTTGGAAGGAGCCCTGGACTGAAAGTCAGGCTGGGGTTCACTGTGTGACTCTGAGCATGTCACTCCATCTCTCTGGGCTTTAGTTTCTTCACCTCTAAATAGGTGGCCAGCCTCAATGATCCTATAGTTTCAACAGCTTGGGTTGCTGCTGGCACAGGGAGGGTCTTTGCATGAATTAGAAAAGAGTGACCCCTTGAGATAGACAAATAGCAAAAAGGTGCCCCTGTGGGGTAAAGGCTAAAACTGAGGCCCAAAATGTGCTTTTTGACACCTGGGGTAACCAGGAGTGTCTTGAGTGGCCTCTCCATTCTGCTCCTGTGAGCAAGGTCCCTTGGCCAAATGACATGTCTTATCCAGGGGACCAGGCACGGGTCCTATTATCCCTGAGAAGTGTGTCTAGTTTCCTGTGAAATCATTCAAACAAGCCCATCACATCCTTCGGAACCAGAGGGCACCCACCCACTGGATACTATAAAGCCTCCTCCGGAGCTCCAGGTGGCTCACTGTTCCTGAGCGCACCCCCACAGGACCCTAGCTGGTGTGCGGCCGTGGGTGCATGTGACTGATTATCTGTGGTCCATCTCAAGTGTCCTGTGTTCGGCCATCCCCATAACCACAGGGCAGGAAGCACTCCCTCGCCAACAGGGTCAATAGGAGGCCCTGAAAACGATCCCTTACTCAGAGTGAACGCAGCCCCTGTTAGGGCTAGGGGCTGGGCCAGTGTAGCCTGGGCTGGATTTCAGCCACCACATGCCTCCTTAGTGGGTGCCTTGGGACAGGATATGATCTGTACACACGTATCTGGCCGCTGTTAGCAGCTCTACTTGTTGGAGTCTGGTCTGTACTGAGATCCATCAGCCCTGTGGCCCACCCATTTTACAGATGAGGACCATGTAAGTGGTGGGGAGAGATTAGAACCCAGGTCTGTCTGGTCCCTGCCGGTGTCCTTATGACCCAATCTAGAAGCTGGGGAGAGGGGGTGAGAAACCTGCACAGCAGGTTCCGTGAAGTGGGGGAGTGACACGAGGGCAGCCTGCCTGGCGGGCTCCTCTGGGGCTGGGGCAGGTGGAGAGTCTGACTTGGGCATGGAGAGCAGCAGATGGCCACACTGCCCACTCAGCCACGGCTGCCTGGCCCCAGCCACACCCAACCCTCAAGGTTGCCCACGTGGCTTCCACCCTCTGGTTGGAGATGAGGCAATTCCTTCCATATGGATCTTCTGCCAAAGGGGCTCCACACAGGCAGAATTTCTAGAACCAGGTGCTTTCTGTGATGACCACCTCTTGCTGGTTGTCCTTGGCTGCTGCCGATCTCCTGGAACAGTCAACAGAAAGAGCAGTGACGTGCGGGAAATGGCCCACCTTTGGGGCGTGGAGGACAGACCTGGGAATTGAGTGTTATAGGGGTGCAAACCCTGAGATTAGGGTTTCATTGGCGACTGCATGCCCAAAGCATAGGCCATGGCCTGAGGCACAGTCAGCGCGCAGCAGAAAAGAACTAAGTGAAGGAGCAAATGAAACCCCAGCATCCCTGCTTCTCAGCTGGGCACCCTTAGGCAGGTTACTTAACCTCTCTGTGTCTCCACTGCCTGGGCAGTGAAGTTGCACATGACAGCATCTTGTCGGGTTATCACTTGGGTTAAGTAAGATGCTGTATTAAAACCACAAAGGCCCACTAAGCACCAGCTGCTCTTGTTACTGTTATCACGCCCTGGTCCTGGCTCAGCCCCAGGCTCCCGTAAGCACCCTCGGCCCCGACACCACAGCTGCGCTGATGGAGTGTGCGCTGCGGCCCGGCACTGTCCTCGGGGCTTTTACTAATCACTCATTCAAACCCCCAAACAAAACTGAGCTACGTTGCTTTTTCTTTTTTTGATGCTCATTTTACAAATGAGGAAGTGGACACGTGAAGGTGACTCTGACTATAAAATAAAGGTGAGGAGTGTTCCCTCATTTCTCTTCTCTCCAAGAACACACGTGAGACTAGCGTGGTTTGTTCCTGGACGTCCGGGAGAACCCACGCATCGCCTGTGGGTCTGAGGCCTGGCCTTCTCTGCAGGAGTCAGTCTTGATAAGGGGTAAGTGACACGTGCGGGTAGGGTCCAGTTCCAGGCAGTCTGGCTGCAGAGCCGGCTCGTAGCCACAGTGTTTTCCTGCCCCAGGTACAGTCGCCTTCTACCTGTGGGACCTGGGAAAAGCCGCTTCATCTCTCTGAGGTTCTCTTAAGTGTAGCGAGCAACCACCTCTCCCTAGCAGGGTCGTTGTCAAGATTAAACGGTTTCAGAAGCACAAGCCTCACCCCCTTCTATGCTGCTGCCCTGAATGTGGTGTCACTCAGCAAACTAGCTGCTAGTGTCATCCAGATGACAAGCCCAGCCCAGGTCCTGCCCTCTCTACCCAGGTCGGCTCCCTGACCCGTGGGCTGCTATCTCTGCAGCCTCACCCAGCAAGGTCCTGGTGCGAGATGAAGCCCAGTCCCACTCCCAGGTGGCCAGGAGTCACTCACTGGTTCTCCAGGTCCTGGATGGTGTCAGGTAGTGGAAGTCCCCGCGTCTCCGGGAGGAAGGGCAGGACAAGGCTGGAGGCGACAAGGATGACACCACAGGAGACAGGGGGCAGCAGGGGCAGGGCCTGGCGGGTCATCATGATCAGGGGGCCCATCACAGCCCCCAGCCGACCTACTGACTGCAGGAAGCCATCTGCCATCACCCTGTGAGCAGAGGACGTGGCCCAAACCCTTGTCATAGCTGGCACTTTAGGGGGGGAGCTTTACCAAAGGGGGGCATTTGGCTGGGCCAGGAGATGCCAGGGGAGAAAAAACTGGGCTAAAGGAATTGCCCTCCTCAAGGTGTCCTCTAATGTCGCCTCCTCCATGGAGCCCACCTAGATTTTTCTATCCAGAGGGGGTCTCTGCTTCCTGGGAACCTCCAGTGTCCTTCCTGGGAACTCCAGGGCCCACTCCACTCTGGTCTTAAGTAATTTGGACGCTTGCCTCAGGGCTCCTGCTAGGCCACTGAGTTGTCAGATTGAGCTTTCTATATAATATCGACAAAATCAATAAATGCGCATCAAATAAATGAATGAAAGGATGGACAAGTGAGGAAGTGGGCGCCATGAGTGAGGGAAAGCACTGGGCTAGGAGTCGGGGGAACTGAGGTCCACTCTTGCCCGTCCATTCAGGAAGTCCTTTGATACTGAGTCCTTAAGCCTCAGTTTACCCAATTGCTCAATGTGGGGGTGGTCTCGCGTGAGACCACTGATTTTCCATCTGTGTCCCATGGAGCCCTTGGTTTCTGAAGAGGTGAGTCTGGGAGGGGCAGCGAGGGCCAAGTAGGGGTCCCCACTATACCAGGGCAGCTCTTGGTCTTCTTACCAGGGTTCCTACGAGATTCTACCTGAACAGACGGCTCTGTGGCTCAGGGCGGTTCCCAATCACAGGCCTAGAGGCCCACTGGGGCCTCCTGTGCGGCTGCCTCCCAGTCAGGGCTCTCGGGAAAAGCTGCTCTGGGAGGCCCGGGCTGAGGATGGCCTCCAGGGGAAGGAACCTGGGCCGTGTCCTCAGCTCCATGTTGGCAGCTGGGTGCCCTCTGCTGTGCACCCTTGGACCCTCCCAGGGTGTCCCTTTGTCGCCCACCCCCTGGTCTGGTGCAGCCTACCGTAGTGAGGTTGGGAAGACTTCAGACTTGTAGACGGAGAAGCAGGTCAAGCACACGCCAAAGCACCCCTTTCCCAGGACGGCGAAGGTGACGCGCAGGGCCCGCAGGTCTGGGCAGAGGAGAGGATGAGACCGGGTCTGCCCAAGAGGGTGCCCAGCCAGCCTGCAGCGGAGGTCTGGGTCCTAACACAGGCTTCTCTGGGCTGAAAGCAGGTCCCGGCAAGGCCAGGTCGCCCAGGGGCAGGCAGGGATTCAGGGGAGGCTGACATCATGGCAGGTTGGGGGGTGGGGGTGCAAGGCAAGACCCCAGCCAGGTCTGGGATGGTGAGCACGGCTGGGCAACTGCTGGTAGCACCGGAGGCCTGCTTCCTACGGTCTGGCTGTGCGGGGGTCCCAGGCCTGCAGCAGCAGCCCCGGGGTGCCCAGGTACCCAGGATCCTTCTCACTGTCCCCCAGCCTACCTGTGGGGTCCCTGAGGTTCTCAAGGAACCACGGGTGAATAGCAGGATCCTTGCCAGGAAGCCGAGGCCCAGGGCACACTCCAGCATCCCTGCCCCTCCCCCAACCTCCCTCCTTGAGCAACAAAAGGGACCTGGAGAGGCTTTCCAGGGCGTTGCAGCCTCATTCAGAAACAAGAGGAAGACAGGCCCTCAAAAGCTCTGCACAGCTTTTGAGAGGAAAATGCCACACACATTTGGCTCTGTGCCTGCCCTGCCTGCCTTCCAGCAGCCCAAGGCCCGTCCCAGCTCCCCGGCCCATCTCCCGCTGCAGGCTCCAGCCTCCGGCCCTGAAGTCTGGCCCGGGCCCTGGCTCTGGCTCTCGCCAGCTGAGTGATCTTGGGTTCGTGACTTCACCGCTCTGAACCTCAACTTCCTTAGGAAAATGGGCAGGGCCACTCGGGGATTGGGTTCCTGAGATGGTGCCGCAAAGGCTGTAAGGGTGATGGACCTGGGCAGAGCTGGGATGAGGGACCCACCAGCCTTGGGGCCGGGTCGGGAGTGGGTGGAGTGCGGTGTGGGGGGCAGGGAAGCAAGGACCCAGGTGGTCAGCGGCTCCGCTCTGCCCCTGCCTGGGCTCACCTCGTGGGACCAGCATGTTGGCCAGGATGGAGAGGCCACCTATGGTCTGGGAGCTGGCCAGGACCACGCGGCGGCCAAAGAACCTGAGCAAGCAGTTGTTGGTGGCCCGGCCCAGGAAGTCCACGGCTCCGAAGAGGACCTGGAGGAGGAAGATGTCACTCCCCAGGTTCTGCAGGTCCAAGACCAGTCCGTAGTAGGAGATCATGTGGGAGAAGCTGCAGGGCAAAGCCAGAGGTCGGGTCCCCGCCCTGCAGAGAGAGGCCCCCTGCACCAGCGCCTGACACCCGACTGGCCTGGGAGGGTGCAGCCCATCGTGAGCTTGTCACCATGAGAGCCCAAGAACCCTGTCAAATGCAGGACTTGTCTCTGTAGGGTCAGGCTGTCTGAGGAAAGGGTGGGGAGGGAGGTGGCCTTATCCACTCCAGGCTGGCCTGGGGGTAGGGGCCTCGTTGGGCTCCTGACCACAATCAGATGGGAAGCTTGACCGGCCCAGGTGGATGGGGACTCTGGGGTCACTCTGAGCTGCTCCCTCCTCTGGCTCCAGCATCCTCTGGCTGTTTCTGGAACCAGGACTTGGCTCTAGCTCTATTAACCAGAGAGGTCTCCACTCCTCTGGTAGCCCATTTCTGTCTTCAAAGATGGAATTCAGGAGAGATTGAAGTCTGTGGGGGAGGCAGGGCTGGGCCCACCTTCAGGATGGAAGTCTATTTGGGGGTGCCGCCCCTCAGCTGGGGAGAGCATCCATGACAGGTCTACACGGACAGAGGGACAACTCAGAAGGGCCTCCCAGCTCCCAGCTCCCAGTTCCCAGCTCCCAGCTCCCTGCTCCCAGCTCCCTGCTCCCAGGGGTGGGCTGGAGCCTTGCTGTGAACATGTCCCAGGGCTTGTCCCCTGCCCACTCCTTCTCCTCCCCCAGTTGATCCCTGCTGGCTAACTAACCTCAGTCTGCTTGGGGTGGGGGGGGGAAGGGCCCCTGCCACGGGCTCTGAACATACAGGCGCTGAATTCCCCAGTTTGGAGATTGAATTTGGATCCACGATGTGAACTTACTCTTGGCCACTTTTCACATCTGTCCTGTTTCACCTGGACACTCACCCCAGCCCTCCCTGCTGTGTCACCTGAAGGCTGTGCCCACGGACTCCGCCGCCACAGCTGCAGGTGCGGGTGCAATTCCGGCCGCTGTGGCAGCATTGCCTGAGTTTGTGAGGGTGACGCGGGGGCTCGCGCGCGCTGTGGCTGACACGAGGGTCTAGAGCCTCAGCCCAGAACCTCCCGCCTCCCTGTTAACAGCCAAAGACAGGAAAAGCAGGGAGAGCTGCTTTCCAGCCTGTGACATGAATAAGGAAGGATGCAGAGGGGCCCCTGGGGGAGGCTGGGAGGCAGTTGAAAGAATGACCCTGGACTTCTGGCAGGGGGGCCGCTCCTAATTTGTCAGAAAGAAATTTAAACCAGAAAAAAGCAGTTGATCCATGCTCTGTTCTAAGATGCAGCAAGTGTTTGCCATTATAACCCATGTGTGGTTAAATATAGCGTAAAATAAACGTTTTCATCATCTTCAGTTTTATTTCAGGATAAGCCCCTCACTTTTCAATATGCTCCTAGAAGTCACTTTAACTGCATTGGTTTTTTCCTGTGTTTTTTTAAATCCTCACCTGAAGCTTTTTTTCCACTGCTTTTCAGAAAGAGTGGAAGGGGGAGAGAGAGAGAGACATAGATGTGAGAGAGACACCAACTGGTTCCTCCCACACGTGCCCTGACCAGAACCAGGCGGAGCCTGCAACCAAGTACATGCCCTTGGCTGGAATCAAACCCAGGACCCTTCAGTCCGAGGGCCAAACGGGCCGCTAACCACTGAGCCAAATGGGCCAAGGCCTCATTGGTTTTATTAAAGGGACTTTTCTTCTCTTCGTCTGGTCCCAGGTGCCCTTGGGCACCGAGACAGGGCCTCCTGGGGTGGGGAGAGGATTCCATGCTCCATGTAGGGCCTGCAAGGTGACGTCTGAGAGAGGAGATAGCTCAGTCTCGGTTCAAATGCCTGATGTCATCTTGGGCAGTTACTTGCCTCTCTGGACCCCACTGTCCCCATCGGTAAGTGGGGGTGTGAATGAACTGGTCTCACAGGGTTGCTCAGAGGGGTCAGTAGGTGGCCCCAGGCACGCAGCCCTCTAGGAGTGAGCTGTTGGGATGACAGTGCTGACAAGCAGGGGTCCATTCCAGCCACCACTGGGCCTGGGCCCTCCCTCTGCCCTGCGCTCTCGGCCTGGCCCTGGCCGCCTGTCCAGCTGACCTCCTGCGGAGCCGGCCTCCAGACCACAGCTACACGCTGCTCTCTCCTGCCCGCCAGGACCGCTGCCTCCTGCGGAGCTGCCCCTCCCAGCCAGAAAGCACCCCAAGCGGCGGGCGGGTGCGCTCTCTGTGGCTCTGTCCCGGAGGGGGGAGGGGGCGTACTTCACCACCATCAGGCAGCAGCTTCTCCGGCGGAGCGTGGGCACCTGGAACAGGGCCAGCAGTGACCTGCGCGCCTCCGCAGAGGCCGCCTCCTCCTCCACGCTGGACATCAGCGCCTCCGGGAGAGCAGAGCATAGTGAGTTCAGGGCAGCGGCCTTGCCCCAGCCCGAGCCCGGGAACCGTGTCCGGAGTGATGGGGAGCCTGGCCTTGACGACCAGAAATGAGAGCCCGAGGGGAGCGGGCGGGATGGGGACAGAAAGGGCTTTCTCTGCCTCTTGGCTGAGCTTCTTCTGCAGACGTGGCCCCCCTACCCGAGAGCCGTGTGTCCCAGCTCTGCCCTCTGGGCTGGGGCTACAGGATGCTCTTGGCAGCTACTACACAAAGCCTCACCAGCCCTCAGTCATCAGGGCTGGCATCAGGGCATGCCCGCTCCAGCCACACTGGCTCCTCACTGTGCCCCAAGTGCCTGTCTAGTCTCTTCCTGCACCTCTGGGCCCTGCCTGCCCTGTACTCAGTTCAGTCCAGGTCAGCTCTAGCTTGCCTCCTCCTGGAAGCCTTCCCTGATTTTCCCACCGCAGGACACTTTGCCTCCTCTAATGTCTGGCCGCATATCTCCCACACCTACTTCCTTGAAATGGCTACTTTCAAATAGCAACATCCTGTTTCCCAAATACACCGAGAAGCCCCATGGGGTGAGTGCAATATATGTGTATTAACACGGTAAATAATAAGGCGGTGATGTGAGCATGTTGTTGGCGACGGTTGCACTGTTACTGGTGGTGGTGATGGTGATAGTAAGGTAATGATGGTGGTGAAGGCGATGGTGATCGTAGTGGCGATGGTGTTGGTGGTGTTTTGTAGAGATGCTTGTGCGGATGTTAGTAATGATACTGGTGCTGCTAGTGGTGATGAAGGTGAAGTCCATAGCCGTGGCTGCTGGTAGAGGAGACGATGGGGATGGAGAAGGGGATGGTGGGAGTGCGGATAGTTGCAGTGCTGTTGATGATGCTGTTGATATTCGTGGTGTTGTTATTATTGTTGGCAGTGATTGATGGTGGTTGTGTTTGTGGATGACAGTGGTGGTGATGGTGGGTGTAGTGGAGGTGGTAGCGGTGGTGATGATGGAGGTAACAATGGCGGCGATGGGGATGGGGATGATGGTGGCAGTGGTGGTGGTGGTGATGGTGATGATGATGGTGGTGATGACGGTGATGATGGTGATGGTGGTGATGGTGGTGATGGTGATGGTGGTGATGGTGGTGATGGTGGTGATGGTGGTGATGATGGTGATGTGGTAATGGTGGTGATGGTGATGGTGGTGATGATGGTGATGATGGTGGTGATGGTGGTGATGGTGATGATGGTGATGGTGGTGGTGATGGTGATGATGGTGGTGATGGTGGTGATGGTGGTGATGGTGGTGATGGTGGTGATGTGGTAATGGTGGTGATGGTGATGGTGGTGATGATGATGGTGGTGATGATGGTGATAATGGTGGTGATGATGGTGATGTGGTGATGGTGGTGATGATGATGGTGGTGATGATGGTGATGGTGGTGATGGTAGTGATGGTGGTGATGGTGGTGGCAATAGTAGTGGTGGTAGACTGGGCAGTGGTGAAGTTGGTGATAATACATCGGTGGGTGTCCTTTCCCAGACATGTCCCACACTCTGGGTCACAAACAGCAGCATCTCACCTCCATGGTCAGTGTCTTTTTGGCCTCCCTGTGGCCGTTTATCCTGGCCACCTTTCTGAGTTCCTGAAGTGCTTGGTCTGCTTTGCCGGTAATAATTAGCCATCGTGCAGATTCTGGCAGCCACCTGTTAAAGAAGCAGGTACTTGGCTGGGTCTTTGCTTTCTTCATGCCTGCTGGGCACTCCCCCCAGGTCCAGTGGGCAGCAGACCCTCCTACTACCATGGGAATGAGCAGAAGGCAGCCACATCGCCCTCTGCACTGCTAATGCCAGGCTGGGAGACACGTCCCTGATGGTTTCAGATGAGTCCCAATGCCAGACCACCTCTTTCCCCCAGGGCACCCCATCTGGCTTCCTGGCTGCCAGGATCCTGCCCATCTGAGCACTGCAAATAGCCAGCACACAGGCTGCCTGGGCATGGGGTGATTCTGGGGCCATTTCTTTTTTTTCCCTGGGGTTATTTCTATGGCAGAAAGCTTACATCATGCTGAATTTCTTTTTTTAATCCCCACCTGAGGATTTTTTTTTTCCATTGCTTTTCAGAGAGAGCAGAAGGGAGAGAGAGAAACATCCATGTGAGGGAGACACTGATTGGTTGCCTCCTGCACACGCCCCGACCAGGGCCAGGGATTGAGCCTGTAACCAAGGTACATGGAATCAAACCCAGTACCCTTCAGTCCTCGGGCTGACTCTCTAACCACTGAGCCAAACCAGCCAGGGCATATCATGCTGAATTTAAAAAACAAAATAAGCTTGGCCGGGCGTGTCTCAGTGGTTGAGCGTCGACCTAGGATCCAGGCGATCGGGGTTCGATTCCCAGTCAGGGCACATGCCCGGGTTGCAGGCTCGATCAATGACTCTCTCATCATTGATGTTTCTCTCTCTCTCTCTCCCTCTCCTTTCCTCTCTCTGAAATCAATAAAGATATATTTTAAATAATAATAATAATAAATAAAAAACAAAATAAAACCCACACATTTAAAACAGCCCCAGCCAGAAAAGAATGGTTTTATAAATGAGTCTGCTTCTTCCCAGCCTCAGGGCAGGTGGGCAGGGAGAAGGGTCTCCCTGGTGAAAGGGACAATTTTCCCAGCCAACAGTACTTCAGCCTTGTTGGCAGAGGAGCTAAGAAAAACTTCCAGAGTGACAGTGGTTAAGAGTCAGCCTGCCTGGGTTCAAATCCTGCCTCTGGGACTCACCAGCTGTGTGGCCTTGGGCAAGTCACTGAACCTCTCTGGGGCCTCAGTGTCCCTCATCTGAAAATGCTGGTAATAACATCATCTTCCTCATTAGAAGTGTTAGTACACATCTGGTGCTATCACCAGCAGCCAGGACGCGTCCATCAGCGTGACCAGGGTGGCCTGCCTAATTAGTGTAATTAGGGGCTCTCTCCCTTCTTGCTATAGATCCTGTCTATACAACAAAACTCCATATGGTCAGTGGCTTTATTTGCTCATGTGTCCCCAGTGCCTAAAACCATGTCTGGCATGGGCAGGAGTGCAGTAAATATTTGAGAAGAGATAAATGAGCCCTTAGGACTCTCTACACCCCAGAATAGACTCACCTGGGCCCAGGTGAGCTCCACACTGACTCATGGGCACAAAAGAACTTGTAGGTACCTGAATTTGTGTTTGACCCCTGGCATCTCTTCCTCCCCACCCCGGAAGGTATTTGCAGACCCCAGGGATTTTTGTTGCACCAAAATAATGATGATGATGATATATTTCCATACCTGATGCCAGTCCTCACTGACATGGATGCCCACAGGCTCCGCAAGTGATATGCGAGTGAGGCTGGGTGGGTAGGGGCTGGTGCCAATGTGAGGGAGGCCAGTGGGCTGGATGGGACCCTCAGACCTCTGGCCAAAATGCCCACCCTGGAACTCTGAATGCCCAGACTGTCTCTCACAGCAAGGGTTCTGTTCACATCGATCCTTTCCATGACCCTCAGCATTTTGGAACCTGTGGCCAGCCAGAGTGCTGGGGTTGAGGAGCACCCTCCCACCCTGGGTCCCCCTCCTGCTCAGCGATGCCCTCCCCAAGGGAAAAGGCCCTGCATTGTACCTACCAGGATATCAGGAAGATGGCAAAGAAGGGCGTTGACACTGCCAGATGGAGGGTGCGCCAGTCCCGCAGGGCGAAGGCCAGACCCCCCAGGAGCATCTGGCCTGTGCAGTAGGCACAGCCCAGGATCGTCATGGTGACAGCCCGCCTGCGGGTCGTGGTCCACTCCACCACTGAAAGGCGATGCGAACGCGTGCAGGTGAGAGCCACGCGTGGTGGCCTTGAGTCCCATCTTCCCCACCGCCCCATGGCAGCAAGTGGGCCGAGCCAGTGACTCACTGAGCGCCGTTGAGGTCAGGATGATGCCGGCCAATCCAAAAGCGCAAACAAAACGGAGGACGCAATAGACGAGGAAATTGGGGGCAAAGATGGCACCGGTGTTGGCCACGGCCACCTGCAGGCAGCACCAGCTCAGCATCGGCTTCCTCCCAAACCTGTTTGGGGAGCAAGCACAGCGCAGCCGAGAGGGGCCTTAGGGACCGGATAGAGGAGTAAAGCCGGGGCCTGCTGGGGCCTGCACTGTGCCCGCGGCAGCGCCCGCAGCTCCTCCCCAGAGCCAGGGGCACGTGCAGAGCACGTTTGTCATAAAAACCGCAGCCGCTTGCTCTCAGCGGACAGCACAGCCTCAAGGTCAGGGGCGGACCTTGGGGCCTGGCCGGGCAGCTCAGCTGGTTGGAGCATCATCCCGATACGCCAAGGTTGCAGGTTCGATGGCAGGTCAGGGCACATGCAAGAATCAACCAGTGATGCATAAATAAGCGGAGGAACAAATCGATGTTTCTCTCTCTCTCTCTTCTCTCTTCTCTCTCTCTAAAATCAATTTTTTAAAAAAAGGAAATGTGAAAATTATTTTAAAAAAGAAAAAGAAGAATGGACTTGGGCCGCAGACGCCTGGGTTTGAGTCCCTCTCGGCCCCTCCTGGGTGACCTTGAACACATGACTCAGTGTCTCTGGGCCGCAGTTCCCCACGTGTAAAATGCTGATATTCCCCATGACATGCTTTGTAGGGCTGTTGTGAAAATCAAGACACTGAGTGAGGGGACAGTGTAGCCGGGAAGCTGAGCACGCGTGGCCCTGGACAAGCCAGCCAGCCAGCTCCCCACCTGTCTGCATGGCTGGAGGCTGGGGCCTGGGAGGCCTGAGCGAGGGGACAGGTGCAGGAGGAGGGGGTGGGCTGCGGTGTTTGTGAATGTGGGAGTGAGGGAAGGAGAACAGGGCTGGCTCCTAGGGTTCTTGGGTATGCCATGGGGTGGAGACTGTTTTCTAGGATGGAGCCTGGTGGGAGGGGCTGGACTGGGGCAAAAAAAGGGGCCTTTTTCTCCCCGGGAGACTGTTAGCTCCCTGAGGGCAGGGGCTCTGCAGTATTTCGCACGCAGTAGGTGCTCAATAAAGGTTGATGCAATAGCTGAAGGATGGAGAGCAACTGTTCAGGGAGCTTTCTCACCTTGCAGGGTTTTGAACATTGCTGCCCCCTGGTAACCTGGGACCCATAGCCAGACCCTGGACCAAGGGAGCCCCCTCTCTTAGAACACATGGACGCTCACGTGACATTTCTGTACCTCTGCCCCCCACCCCCCACGATCATTCTGCCCTGAAGGAGCCAGGTGGGAGGGAGGAGCACTCACCAGCAGGAGAGGAGGCCCCAGGCCAAGGACCCCAGCAGGTTCCCGGCCATGAAGACAGCCTGGCCCAAAGGCTTCAGGCCCTGCTTGTCGCACACCAGGCCCCACTGGAAGAGAAGGCAGTGCGAGCCCAGCTCAGGGGACGTGGTCTCAGGAGACAGAGCGGCAGAGGGAGGCCCAGGTCAGGAGTTCCCAGCCGGGAGCACCCGCTCAGCCTGGGTCCTACGGGTTCAGGTACCCACGTTGGGACCCCAGGTCCCTGGGGCCAGCGGACAGGTGGAAGGGGTGTGCTGGCCGTCGGCCTCCACTCTCTGCTCACAGCCAACTGCATGCCACAGCTGTGGCAGGGCCTTGTGGCTGACAGTGTGGCGGCCACTCCGAGGGGACGAGGGGATGGGGAGGCAGTGGTGGGAGGGGCTAAACTGTAGGCTCCAGCTCTAACTGTTGCTGCTGCTGGTGAGCCCCTCACCTTCCTGTGACTGACTCTTTCCCTTGTGTCCAGGCCTCACCTCCAATGTACCCTCTTCGGAGAGCCTTCCCCGCGGCCTGTCCCTCCCCCATGCGCAGGACCTGCTTTTCTTCTTTGTGCTCACGTAGGACACTGGAGGCAGGAAGGAGAGTGACAGAAACCCGGGTTCTGGCCCCCAACCGCCTAGACTGAATTGGGTCCCAGTGTGCTTTAGCTGTGTGTCCTGGGACAAGCTGCTGAGCCTCTCTGTGCTTCTGTTTTGTCCTTTATTAAATGGGGACAATACTAAGACCCGCCCCATGAGATCACAGCGAGACTGTGACTGCAGGGAAAGCGTTTGGAACAGTGCCTTCCTCTCAGAGGGCAAAAGGCGAAGGTTCGCTACGCTGTTATTACTCCTTTAAACATTGTCTGATTCGGAATCCCTGGCAGAATGTGAGACCCGGGAAGGCTCCCTGTTCATCCTGGAACCCTAGCCGCACATTGGAACCTGGGCCATCGTGAGCAGTCAGCGACACAAGCTGAGGGAGTAGCACATAATTTCACTGTGGTGATGGAGGTGATATGACACCACCCCACCCCC